TGGAACTCTAAACTTTATTTCTGTCTTTACAGATTAGAGATACATAGAGTAGTTATTTTTATAGACTCAATCTAAACTTGTGGTGGGTTTCCTAAGACTGCACTAATTTCTGCCAGCATCTGACTGGCCTTTGGCATACCTAATATACATTAATTAAAAAAAACTGGTGTAAAAGACCAAAACAATAGAATTGAATGCTGACTAGAAAAAGCTATGACGCTATTTGAGCATATGGTGTCTAAATGTATGCATGCATGTTAGTAACTGTAAAAAGGTCAGTTTTGTGAAAGCAGCTTTCCACATCTTGCATCCTTTACAACTACATGCTATTAGGAAGAGTACCTGTTGCTCATTAAAAAAACAGACTATTGCAGTGTTTGCATGGTCATATGCATATCAAAGCTGAGAAATTTAAGTTCAAACCTCTGTTTGAGTTCAGAGTAAAAGCTATGATTAGTGGTTGAATCAAGTTGGAAATCAAACTGAACCATTCAATAACAATATTAAGATTTTCTGTCTTTCACATGGACCCAGGATTTGGTATCTCTTCTCATGACAAGTGTCTTGTTATGGTGGTGCTATTTAAAACAAATTTGGTATGATTAGTAATGTAAATTTGCATTTTTTCTCACATACTTGTCACCAACTAGTCCTTACCAATCACTTCCCAACATCCATAACCTGATCTAATAATGGAGAGTCCAGATGGCTTACCGGAAGACATTATAATCTATTTTGGTTTATCGGTTAGTGCCAACGGCCTTAGTGATGATTTGGAAAAACACAGGAACATGTTTGAAACGTGAAAATAAAACTATGATCACTGAGAGAGCAATAAGTGACTGAGCATGCTTTTATGCAAGCCATAAAAAAAGAAACTGTCTGGCCGCGTGTTGGCGTCTTGATAACAGAAAAGTGGAAGAATTTTCACCTCGTTGCCACAACAAAACAGGAGTTTGTATGCAGCTCTTCACTCCATTTAGAGATCGAAGACATCGACATCATCTCACAGCGATAAAGCACACAAAGACATATTCAGACAGACAGAGGCAGTACAAGACCAGGCAGGCCTGATGTGAGCCCCCGAGACAGGAAGCATGCCTCCCCTATCCTCCCTCCTTCACACACACATACACACACACACCCTTCCTAAATCACACAACACGTCCACTTCCCTTTGAAAACACATGTGTGACTGATGACGGACATGGAGACTCTGAAATCACCACAGCTCACGCTGGAGATAGCAGAGAGTCAACAAACAAACAGAATCTACCACCTCGCAGGGCAAACATGGGAGAGGAGGAATACCCTCCTCCTCGAGTCGTAGTCGGACAACTTTCACTCCTCCTCCTCCTCGGTAGAGTCATGTTTAAACTTGTCTCTCATTCCCCAGTCTTGTTCTTTCTTTCTTTTTGCACAGGAACACACTTTAATAAACAACAACCAGTCTAGTTTGCCTCAACATCAACAATAAAGTAATAATATATAATTACAATGAAATTGAGACATTTTATAAAGACTAGTAGGAACATTTTCACCTACATAAGGATACTATTACTAAACAATCAATAAGGAGCTGAAAGTAAAACCTGTTGCATTATCTCAACAACTCGGCAATGTCCAATGATATGAATGTAAATTAATATTCAAAACCCTTTTTTGTGTCAACTATGTGGTTATTGAAATCATTTCGGCACTGAAATAAATATGAATCAATGTTTTTAAACAAAATCAAATGTATCTGGTAATTTGGATACCTGAACATGAATTTTGATCCTGTTGAATTTGACAGTGATTGCACCATCAGTGATTCAGGGTCGGTCTTGTTTTGTTTTTAGAGACATCATTTTCACATATTGTTCTTCTGCTGGAGACTTCTTAGACTAGGCTTTTCTTCTTTTGTCTTACTTGTCTTGGATATCTTAAGAAGTACTGCACACCAATATTTGCTCAATTGTAGAAAGACTGGCCTAAAATGAAGAATCAAAGAAAAAAAAACCTGTTAAAGTCTGGAAACCTGTTCATGAAGATCATTTAAAAAGATTACTGGAAAGTTGGACCGGAAGGAAAATGCAAAGAGACGAGGACTTGATTGAAGCTTCTTATCAGAGTACAGTATGAACAACGAGCTTGAAGGGGCCAATAAAAGTGTTGTAACTTGTACATTCTAGGCCCGGCCTGTACACAGTCTTTGTTCTCCGTCTCCTCAGCCAGAGATGTGTGAAAAGTGGGTCACAGGTCGGACCTCTTTGTCCCCCCCGGGCAAATGAAAAGTGACAGACACCGGCCACACATCACCACTAATATGCTCGCACACACTCTTCCCTCCCCACCCCCTCCATCCCTCTCGGCGCCCACTAATTGCGACATGTGGTTATTAGTGCTGCGCAGGGCCAGCAGCTGTAATTGCTGGACGTCCCTGGACCAATAATTTCGTGGTTAGTTGGACCCGTCGGAGTCCAGTGCCTAGCCGGTACGGGTCATCGGGTCATAGTACGCTAAAGATGGGGGGGCTGGAGCCAAACAGTTTTCCCTGTTTGTTGGAATCCCCACCTCTCTCCGTTCTACAGCTCTTTAACTTTTCACAGGGTTCATACCAGGTCTTAAAAAGTCTTAAAAAGTCTAAAATTTGAAAATCAAAATTTTAGGCCAAAAAAAAAAGTCTTTAAAACGCCCAGATTTTCACCCAAGGCCTTAAATTTAATTTTGTCATGTCTTAATTTTGTCTACTTCTGATCATTCCTAAGAACCATTGGCTACATAAATAAAGAAAGTAAAGAGTCGTAATCAGAGGTTGAAACAATCTGTCTTCATGATATGCTAAGTTTGCTACTGGTCATGATTAAACTATAAATCCCATGATAACTGCAGGTAAAAATGACAGTTTACTTCCATGTTTTTGACCTCTTTGCCGCTACAACCCCCCACATACAGCCCCCCACATACAGCGGCTTATTTWCCTGCTCAAAAAACAGAAGTTCAGTCATGTCCACTACTTGTTGTTTAAAATGGGAAAGTGTGTTTTCAATGAGACTTGACTTGATATCAGTGATTTTTTCACTCTGTTGACATCGGTTCACAGCAGTCAGATATGACCGTTTCATTCAAATAATTTAGCATTCTTGTATTAAAATTAAATATTCTTTAATAACTAAATTGAAAGCAATAAAAGTTGTTTCTATTATAAAATTTCTGACCATTTGAATGTTTCTGTTAATGCGTCGATTTGGTCTTAAATGTCATTACTAATGGTCTTAAAGGGTCTTTAAAAGGTCTTAAATTCAACTTACTGAAATCTGCATGAACCCTGTTTTCAGCATTGTTGTTATCACTGCTTTTATTGAAGACAAAAGTCTGGATTCATGATCTACAATAACTGCAGGCAGTTTGTCTCACCCTCTGTTTCTGTAATTCTTACTTTTTATTGATAAAGTCCAAAGTTGTCTTCATCAATAAGGTTCTAAGTAGGGGTGGGCGATATGATCAAAATTTTATATCACGGTATTTTCAACATTTTCACCGGTTTCACGGTATTTGACGGTATTTTTCTTTTTATCACAGCTCAGCTGATAATAAAATGTACAAACTCTGCTCATATATGTCAACTTGTACAGATTGTAAGTTATAAGGATTTAACGTCATTTTGCAGGTRTACGGRYGTATAGAGTAATCTCACGAATCTTTTCAAGTCTTACAGATTTTTTCAAAACCTGATTTTCAAATTTATCTAACATGTCAGAGCCTATAGGATGATTTGAAAAACAATAAACAACATCAAACAGCCATCTTTTAACCTGTTCTGCCGCTAGAAATAAGTTTTG